CGGGGCCCGCGGGCCGTCCCCGCGCCCCGCCCCCCCGGAGGAGCTCAACGCACGGCGGCTTTTGGCGGCCGTGATGGATGTCCTCCGCACGGCCCACTTGCGGGAAAACGTCTCGCTCGAGGCCTCCCCGGCCTACGCGCTGGGGCTCATTAAGGAGCTGGAAAGCCTCAAGCGGGAGCGCAATTACTGGCAAATGGGCCTCGAACAGTACGAGAATGTGGTGGGGGCGCGGCTGATGGCCTACGGCGAGGCCCCGCCGCGTTTGGCCGAAAAGGAGCGGGGGCTTCTGGGTGAATGGAAGGAAAATATAAACGACCGGGGCGGCAAGCGCGCCGCGGGGGACGTGAATGGGTCGCCGTTGATGACATTTTCGACTTCTTCACCGACGTGGCTTGGCGATGCCTGCCATCGTCTACGCGAGTGCCTGCAAAACTCCCCGACGGAGGTGGTAGGGCTCCCGGACGATGTGCCCGGGGAAGATTTCTTCGAAACCCCCCACGAAAAGAGTGCGGAGGACGTTCGAAGTGCCTTTTTATCCATCCTCAACTGCACGGAAAAGTATTTGACCGACCTCAACCGTGAGTATTCCCTCGCGAAAGAGGAAGTGCAGCGGCTTCTTCACGACAACGCGTGCACGCCGCGAAATGAGGAGGCGCTCAGACTTTCGGAATTACTGACAGTCCTTTCAAAGACCAAAAGCGACGTTCATCAACAAGAAATGCTCATTCAGCACGCGATTTTGCTCGATACTTACGATCAGCTGATTGAGAAGCTCCCTTTGTCTCTCAGAGAGCATTATCATCTGCAAACCGAGCAGCCTTTTACAAAAGAGGCCGTGGAATCCGTGGTAAAGGCGTTGACAAGCGTCGTCGAGGCGAATTTGGAGATGGAGAAGGGGCTTGACGGACTTTGTGGAAGATTACGACAGCGGTTTCGTCTTTCGCCGGTGAATTTGTCGAAAGACATCCCACCACGGGAGCGTTTGCGGTTTTTGGAGGATGCGATTTTGGCGGTTTGCGAGCGATCCTGCGAGACCGCCATCGCGGAGTCGGTTTTGCAAAAGGATGTCAAGGACGCTATCGAGGAGCTTGCGCAGCTGCTTTTGATCCTCACGGGAAATGAAAATTCGTCGGCGGGAGGGGAGTTTGAGCCGTTCGTACGAATTGCCCCACCAACTGAAGATTTAAACGAGATGGTTCGTGTTTTAAAGCTTCGTTTGCTAGAATGGCAGGTTCAGCAACAAAAGCAGATCACCTCGGGAGGACAGTGGAGGCTAGAGGGGATTCGGTTAAATGAAATTATCCGACGTTTTCTTTTGCCTGTTCAGCAATTACTACTCGAGATCCTTGCTTCGGGAGAGGAATCGACGGGAGGAGGCGTTGATGAATTCGACTCCGGTGGTATGGAAACTGGAAATGTTTTTACGGAAGGTTACCCAACCCATTCTCGTCCAAATTTTTCCTGGCGGCAACCCGATACCTTACAAAATGATAAACCGATGTTGATTTCCGAAATCGAAAAATCGCTTAACGACGTCCTAGAGCGGATTAAACTTCTCAAAGGAAAGCATTCCCGCAACCTTCAGTCGATTTCCTCGCATAAAATTCGCATTCGAGCTCTCACGCAGAGAAGCGGTGATTTGGTGAAAAGGAATAAAAAGATCTTTGCACGCGTTGGTAAAATATGCTCGACGCTCAGTATCGACGCTTCTGCTCTCGCAAATGATTCGATAATTAGTAAGGCAAACAAAGGGATCACGTCTTCTAATGCCATGATTTCTTCACCGAATGAAGATCGTAATAGTAATAAGAATATAGCCTTACCGACAGCTGGAAATGGGGTTTTAGAAATCGCGGAGGATACCATTTTGAGTGCTTTACAAATGATTGAGGCTCGTTTAAGTATCGATTCGGAGCTTGTTGAGCAAGCCATCCTATCTGCTGAATTAAAACGTTTGAAAGAGGTGGAGAGGTGCTGGGAGTGCGATCGAATCGCGTTTACGGAATCCATCGCGATGATTTTAAAGCGCTTGGCGGAGTGTGGGACGTTAATTAAGCAAACTCTGTTTATCTTAGGAACCGATGAATCCGCGGAGGATGAGCTGCTCGAGGCGGCTCTTTCGATAACCGACAAAAAATTATCCGAAAAGGAGAAATCCAAAGGACCCAAATTCGATGTCAACGCACCTGGGAATGAGAATCAAGCCATTCGCCATTATAGGGAGCACACCGAAGACCACCACAACGACGACGACGATGACGAACTGTATCGTGGGGTTGAGGAGTTGCTTGCGATGATGATGCAAAAATACGTTCGATGGTCGCGGCGGCTTCAGGAAACCATGATCGATCACCTGGACACGCAGCAGCGGATTGTGAAATACTTCGCCTCCGTGCGCGCCTTCTTCGCGACGCAACCTCCCCTGAGGGATCAGGCCGAGGCGGGCGTAGAGGACAACCTGATCGACCTCGACACGACCCTTGTGGGGTTTGCCGATGTGATCCTGCCCTTGTTAGATCGCGCGGGGCCGAGAGGGGGGGCCCTTGAGGGACGGCCAGCCGGGGTGGCCCAGCGGAAGGGAGGGGGGGTCTCATTCGACCACCACCGCCTCCTCCGCCTCCACGACGGCATCGCGAGGCTGCACGCAG